AATGACAAGACCCCAAGATCATGAATTTAATTTATCTTTTCAGAACTCATACATAGATCTATGAAATACATTCAACATTGTTTGATTTGATGTGTTAAAAGGAAACGCGTGTCTTTTAACCGGTTACATGACGACAGAAAATAATTTTCTAATCATTTAATTAGAGTAATTAAGCGAGTACTCTTACAAAGTCCTAATTAAAACATTCATTCTTATTGCACAGTTGTGTAATGTCTGTTATATTTCCCACTATTCTCTTTGGTGGTCTCATGAAACGGACCCATAATGAAATTATGATTGAGTGTGAATAGGGGAACAGATGTAGTGACGGATTATCTTCACATGTCTGAACTACACGTCTGAATACACAGCTTGATGCAAACAGAATTGAAACCGGGGCCTGTACAATCAGTAACAAGGAAATTACACAGGCATTGTTCCTCGTCAGCATTTCGACAATCTCTTAGGCTACCTGACGGCTTATGAGACCTCTACGCAGAAGTTGTTCGAGACCAACCGGGTACAGTTCCAGTTCTTCCTTATGCCCTCCCTTTTTTAACCTCTGACAAGATCAGAATTTTTCATATGAGAGAAATACCAGGTTTTATCTGCTACCTAACATAATTATCTTCACATCATTGTATCATCGGGAGCGAAATCAAAATCCTGTTTGCCGGATGCTAGATTTCGCCTTAGCAATGCTTTTAAAGACCAGAATGTTGACATCTGAAGACATAAGTTACAAGAAAACAATGGTCTCTGTAATTTCTCTCGTGTCTGTGCTATTCCTTCTGTTCAATGAGACACAATTACCACTCAGCTGTAACCCTGTATGCAAGCATTCTCCAAATAATTTCTCCGAACCAATGTGAGCTTATTGTAGTGTAACACAAACCGGCGCATTGATTTCTTTTGCATAGTCGAACGTGTAATTTATTTCACCGGCTTCCTCCAAAGAGATCTGAGCTCGCTTCTTTGTTCGGCTATTTTACAACGCCGTATCAACTGTTGAAGTAATGAAGCGTAAAATTAGATTTTGTAAAGTGATTATAAATGTTGAATAGTGAAGGGTTTGGGCCAAGTAATCTTAGCACATATCGTATAAGGATTTGAATCGGGTTTTCTCTGAATGAATGACAGACGCATAGCTATACCGACATCCTCAGTAAGATCTGCATTTGCAACCCAAGTTTTCGTGAGGAATCTACGCTGGGGTTAACAATTAAATATTTATATATTCATCATCATTAAAACGCCAAAGTATTTTATACACTGACTCTGAAGATATATAAATGGATTTAATTCCATTTAAAATACCCCTAGTACGTAGTCGGTTTATATAAAAATTAAACTTTACTTAGCTAAGTCTATGCCTGAAAGAATGACTTCCTTTGACTCTACCGTAGTCTACATAAAGCAACGTATAACACTTGACAAATAATGAGACGGGATCTAAGTGAGAACTTAAATCCAGTGGCTTCTTTACATTATCGATGGCCTCCTCCAGGTCCAGGATA